GCTGCCCCCAGGAGGAGGGCCCCAGAGGGCGGGGCTTGGCTGCCAGGCCCCTTGAAAATGGAGCAGGGGGGGCCGGGGCCTGCTCAGAGGAGCCCGGTGCCCTGCTGCCCGTGGCTGTCGGCACTGCCGAGCCAGAGGCCAACATGAAGACGACATTCACCATTGAGATCAAGGATGGCCGTGGCCGGACCCCCACAGGCCGGGTGCTGCTGCCCACAGGCAGCCAGAGGGCAGGTAGGCCTCCCCGCGGCTGGAGACGAGTGCCTGCAGCTGCCCAGCCCTGCACCTCGGCCAGGTGCTGCGGCCAGGGCTCAGGGTGTCTCCAGAGGGGGGTTCTGGGAGCGAGGGGGCTGTCATCCACCGGGGCTGCCGCTGTCCTCACTGCCCCCGAGACCTACAGTAGCCTCTCTCCCCTTCCAGAACTGACGCTGGGGCTGCGGGCGCCCCCCACCCTTCTCAGCACCAGCAGTGGGGGCAAGAGTACCATCACCCACATCAGCGGCCCTGGGACACCGGCCCGGCTGGGCACTGTCACTCACGTCACCAGCTTCAGCCATGCCTCTCCCGGTGGGCAAGGAGGCCGCAGCATGAAGGTGAGCCCTTCCTCACCCCTCCACCATCACCAGCCACTCACAGCGACTGCTTCCGGGTCCAGGGCTGGAGGGTTCCTCTATCCACTCCTCTCCCATGGTGCATGTGGGAAACGGAGGCCCAGAGAGAGAAGGCGGCTGCCCACAGGCCACAGCCAACTGGTGGCACAGCTAAGGCCAGACACCAGCCTCTCACCCACTAGATGTCTCAGACAAGTACACTGTTTGCCATAAGCTTCCCACATGCTGATCTCTCATCCTCCCTGCAGAGTTGGTTGGTTCGTTCCTAATGAACAAACGGGAAAACTGAGGGGCAGGGAGCGTGGCACAGGCATCACCCTCTTCCTGTGACGGCTCCTTCCCCACACTGGACCTCAACTCTGAGGTTCAGAGCTGCTCATCTGCTCATCCAAGATCAGCCTGGCCCCGTAGAAGATTGGAGATGAGCGATTAGCATCTGCGTCAACATTTCAGGGGGAGGGGGTGCTGGGCAGAAGCATTGAGGGGGGACAGATAGGGGGGGAGGAGAGGGGGGCGCCAGTCAGGTGAGGCAGCAACCTAGCAGGTGCCACGGGAATTGAATCCCTTGCACCCTTCCATTATTCATCCCCGAGCCCGGGATCAGCTGGCTGGGAGCTCAGCTGGGGAAGGAATCCCCAGCACGCCACTCGGCTGCCCAGGTAATGCCCTCCGTGCTGCACCGGGGACTGAATGGGGCTTTGGCGGAGGTGAGGTGGCTAAAGCCAGCTTAGGGCCTTCTCAGGGGTGACAGGGAGAGGGTGGGGGGGTGAGAAGGCAGCCTTCCCCCATAGAGCAGGGAGCGAGGAAGAGAGGGGAGGGGATGACTGAGGCCCTTGGGGTGGGTGGGAAGTGTCACAGTGAGCCCTGGGTCTGATACCACCACCTCGCCTCAGTTTCCCCATCTAGAACCAAAGGAACGCAGATAACGCGCCCATAGTGTACTTGCTCAGAGTCTGGTTGGATCCAAGTGCCTATCTCAGGGAGAAGGCACCTGCTACAGCAGGTTGCCTAACACCCTGCCTCTATTTCCCGCATCTGTTCAAGGCTTTCTGAAGCAGCATGGCATGAGGGCAGAGGGGTGCGAGCTCTGGAGTCCAGCAGACTGGATCCTCGCAGCTAATGCACACAGAGGCCCAGGCAGGCCCCTCCCTTGCTCCTTGCCTCAGCTGTCCCACCGTGGGGCCGGGGACCCTGGCCTCGGGCATCCTTCCCAGCCCGTGCACACTTGCTGGGCTTCGGGTGTGATTTCTGCAGGGCCAGGGCCAGGCCTAGCGGTCCAAGTGCTGAGGCGGGCCACCCCTCCCCCAGGCCCCCACAGGCAGCTCAGAATAGGTTTCTATTTGGGCTGCAGCCCCAGCTGGCGGGTGGAGGGCTGGGAGGCCAGCAGGGGCGGGGCAGGCCCACTGCCCTTGCCTTCGCCCTCGGACCAGCTGCAAAGACTCTGACATACCAGCCAGAGGCAGCAGTCCCGGCCACTGTCCCCATCGTCACCCCACCATAGAGCCCCCGCCAGCACCATGCCGGGGGTCCCGGGGCCTGCGTCCGAGCTGACCGCAGCCCTGGAGGAACGATTGAGCCGGGCCTTGGAGGAGCTGCGGGCAGTGGCTGAGGCCGGCCGGGTGGCGGTGA